GGCCCCTGAGGGTCTTGTTGCGGTTCACCTTCGCGAGGGTCCGCACCCCGGGTCACTTGTAAACTGCCGTTAGTAACGCGCCTGAGATGTTTCCCGAAGCCCTGGGTGGAAGGCGGAATGGTGTCGAGGGTTATCTTTAGTCAAGGAGTGAGATCTCAGTCGCCAGAACGTTGCGGTTCTGTTGTGCACAGCTTGGTTAGCTCCGGGCAGAAGTTGTTTTCCACATTAGGAAGTGCTGTCAGCCCAGTACTTGATACGACCTTTGAATGTATCGGAGTTGTAGAGGTTTTAGATTGTATTTGTAAACGGCCAAGTTTTAAGTGAGGAGTAAATGTCTAGATTCCTGTTGTTTGGTAAGACCTTACTGGTCATTGTACAGTACAGACAAAAAAAGCACTACTGATGGTAAACATAGAAGTTGAGTTAATGGTGGCGCATTGGCCGTGTTACAGAATACATGGTATTTTGTTGCTGTTGACACACCATGTTTAGTTGGTGTTTGTGCTGTCCTGGTTCTGTGACTGCGCTGTAATTTCTTGTTCTGGATTCCCTTTTGCTGTTAGGAAATGTTGATATTACAGCCATAGGATTCCGCAATGACCGGTTAGTGACCCTGCAGCGAGTAGATTCGGGATACCCTGCAATAGATATAAAGTTATTTGGATGGATTTCTGCCAGAAGTCAGTAGTCGTGTCTCATGCTATAAATCTTGTTGTGTCTTCACAAGTAGCGCAATTAAGGGAGACTTTTGTTTCTTCCTATCACATTTCTGTTGCGAATGTTACATTTGAACACTATATCAAATATGAATAAATATTTACAGTTATTTTCTCTAGGAATAACTGTTATGCTTCTACATATTATAGGAATGCTGTGTCTTTTTTTCCCTTTTTAGTTTCCTACCTCTTCTTGAACATCTTACCCTTGTGTTTATAAAAAAAGGGTTGTTGTGAATACCTTCTTCTCCCTCTTCTTGTTCAGTTCCATTCTGATAAGGTGCACAAAGTGTAAAATCTGGTAGTCTTTTAGTACTTTTGAGATGGTGTGGTAGTTTGGGGTCTTCCAAATGAAGTTCTGCTAGAATCGGATTGTTCTCTATTTTTCTCTTACCACATTCCCTGTGTAGCTTTTCTTTTTAAGAGACTTCCGTACATATTGGAAACCCACGGTTTTCTTCAGTGTGGCATTTAAAAACTTTGTGTTCAACAGATGTGAAATTATGGGTGGACTATTTATGAAAGAGTATCTTTCATCCTGCTAGCCTTATTAGATTCTGTTTCTACTCTGTGAAAATGAAGAAATGTTTATCAGGATGCTGACTTCAAGGTAGTATAAGATTTCCTGATTATGCAATAACTTGTATCTGAAATGTGAAGAGATATCAGCGTAGGACCTGCCAGAACAGTTGAGATTAGATTTAGAACTAAGTTACCTTTTGCTTCTAGTTTGCTGCAGAAATGACTGTTAACTGTTTTTCTTTTTTTCCATTAACTACCCTCATCACTCTGTTGCCTTTCCAGGGTAAGGAAAAGTACTTGCTAGAGGGATTTGGCCAGCAGCCTGCCTCAGGAACAGAAGAGTGGCAAGGAAATAGAAATGTTTCAAATGGAAAGTTAAAATGAAGGGGAGAAGTTGGAAAAGACAACCTATCTAGGTGTCTGTAATATGTAGAGCTTTCCTGAAAATTAAGAAACTGGAAGTTTAAGGCTAGATGAAATGTATTTGTATGATGGTGTATTTATCCCATCTAACTTCCTGATAATTCAGACTGGCTGTAAAGGTTGGTAGCAATGTTATGGCTCAAGGGGAGGGAGGGCTAAGATCTGGAGTAGAGGCAATGCTGTAAAGGCTTCATAGTTTCACAACGACCCTAGAAGAACTCTTTGGAGAACAAAGCGCTGTCAGAAAACACAATGGTATTATTTAGGAGCTTGTCAGTCTAGACATACTGTCTGAAGTTAAGCTTGGGTGGTTTTAGGGTGGTTCAGAATTGAACACAGTTAAGGGAACTTGGTGGCAAGCTTGAGTGTGTGTTCACAATAATTTTGATAATTTCTGTGTTCAGGATCCTAGGACCTACAGAGGAATCAAAGCTGTAGTATGTGGAAGTGTTAGTAAGTATATTTTTGTCTCATACCAGTTGGGATTCCAATTTCTAAACAGCATTGCCATTGTCATCTTGTGTTGTTGCATCCTGTCTTCCATTGATCACCCTTGAGGGACTCCTCCGAGGAGGGCAGCGTGTGGACTTCAAGACTAGACATTAGAAATGGAAAAGATGTACTGCGCTTGGGAGCTTTCTTAAAAAATGAGCAGCTGAATAATCAATGAGCAAGCCTGGTTGCTGCCCATGGAAGCATGCTTAGCGTAGTGCTGCGGGTGGAAGAGCAGTGAGGACGGGAAGCCCTGCTGCACAAACACAGCTGTCAGCGCTGCCTCCATGGCAAATTCATCTCGGAGTTGCTCAGAAAATCTCAGATGGACGCAGGTTCCTTATTCATCTTAAGCTGAGGAGCCTCTGTTAGTTTACCTTGTCAGTGCTTTGCTTTGCTATTGCGTGAAAGGCTCTGTGTTTTTATGCTGTCAAAAACTTCAGGCTGCGCTCTGTGCGTGATGTAGAAGCAATTCTTTGGGGCAGCATTTGCTTCTCTGTAGTCTGTGACACACCAGTGAAAGAATAACGTGTGGTTTTGTGGGCATTGTAAATTTGAGATGTTGCAAACTACAAAAACAAAACCAATAGCGTAGGTTTTAGTTGGGAAGTGATCTTGTACAAAGAAGCCTTTATTGTTACCACCTCTGGAAATTGAGACACCGTGGCTTTTGTGCAAGGTAGAAAATAATTGAGGCTGTCAGGTTATGCAAGTTAGTGCAGAGGTCAGTTCTGCCTATCCGTCCCCTATGCAGAGACATTTTTCTGAGGTTCCTGTTCTGAATTCTTTGTTTACATAGCTAATTGTGAGTTTGCTGTCCTGTCAGTTCAGTATTGCAGTTGAGGAGATTGTTTTCATCATAAATTCAGTACTTGTGGTTGCTCCTCTAGTGTTAAGGGGGGGGGGGGGGGGGGGGG